GGTTGATTGCATATGCATCATTTAGTCAAGAGGCAATATTTTCTAGTTTCGTGGAGACTAGTGGCTTGTCCCAAACCTAGAAGGGTGGGTTTGAAAGCCTAGGGGACGGGCTTTGTTGTTATCGGTCTAGAAGGGTGGACCCGGTTTAAATGTAAAAACCGAAAAATGATAACAAGTGTTGGTACCACATGGCATGAGTTGCATTGAGTCACATGGCACATTTGTGATTGTTGTATGAAGCATGCGTGTGTGCATGACTTGTTGATTTGAGAGTGTGAATATAAGATTGTTGTATGCAAAAATGCTTATGTGTATGTTATGTGGATTGATGAGGACTATGGATATGTGCATGATGAATATGCTTGATGATTGTCCATATTTGTTTATATAAGTATGCTTTGTAAAGTATATGATGAGTTATGATGAAGTATGGTGAGAATTGTGGAATATGCGTATGTACATTACTTGTGTAATTGAGAAATGTGAATGTGTAATAGTGAATTGGTGGATAAAACATAACATGTGTATGTTTATGTGGGATGTTGAGATTTATGGATGTATGCATGATGAAAATGCTTGACGAATGTCTATGTTTGTTTATATGCACGTTGTGATGCATCTGATAATGGAAATGAATTATGGTGAGAAAATGTAGGTTATATGTATTATATACTTGTGTATGTATATATATATATATATATATATATATATATATATATATATATATATATATATATATATATATATATATATATATATATATATATATATATATATATATATATATATATATATATATATATATATAATTGTATGCATTGATTATTATGATAATATTTCTCACCCTTCTGCTGGAATGATGTCCTATATGACATCGTGCAGGTATAAGAGTAGAGTTGTTCGTTGTTGCGAGGTCGCTATTGGTGTAGCTGTTTAGTAATTTATTTATGAGTCGAGTCATGCTCTGGTCGTGTAACACTGGGATCGATTGCTTTATGTTTTAGGATTACATTACGTAATCTAAGTTATGTTTCCATATTTGGATTAATTAGAATAATAAGACGTTGGACTTAGTGCCTAAGTGATGTTGATTTTATATGATGAAAGCAAACATTTCTTTTACGAAATTATCATTAATGAATCCGCTGCTAAATGCAAAGTGAAATTCTGTAAAGCATGATTTTATTTCAAAGTGTTGATGAACATGACAGGTGGTTTTGATGTTGTGATAGTTTTGTGTGACGCCCTTTTTTTTGGATGCATATATTATTTGCGGGGTTTAGAAGGGTGTTACAGCGTGAGGATCAGTTCTTAATGCTCTGTGTTGTGTTTTTGTTGGTAGAGAGATCACCAATGAGACAACATGGTTGTTTTCTCGACGCTGCATTAGAGATAAGCTTTGTCGAGAGTGATACACAAGGGTATTAGGTGGATGATTGCGTTGTGTTTAATTTGATCAAAAGAATGCATATGTTATCAATTCATGAAATCCAATCCCAACAAGACTCTGTTTATATTTCAGTCTTTATTTTATATTTTCTGTTTTTTATTTATGGTTCTAGAACTTTTAAACCAAAACTCAAATGAACAATAAGCTTAGAAATGTAGAGGCCGTTGAACGACGTTCATATCGCACTAATCCTTGTGGAGACGACAAAACTGGGTACTTAATATTTTTTGCTTGCTGCTTTACCGCACCAACACCCACGATAAAATGTAAGACTCGTGGATCGGTCCGATGGACAACTCTACAATTAACAACATATATTATGCCAAATCACACTTATATTTTTAAATTATATAAAATTATATTAATAACATGATAAATTAATAAATTAATAAATTTTTATTAAATGATGGTGTAAAATTATAATAATGCACAATGTTTAATCTCTATTTTATTATATTCATTAATCATTTAGATATTTAAACTGCATTAATAATGTAAACTGCAGTCCAATTTATGTTTTAAATAAACTATTAAAGTAATCAATAGTTTTTGTTTGTAAAACAAAGTAGTCAACAAAGTGACACTTCAATAAATTAATTTTTTTTTAATAATTTGGCTTTGTGCCACCAAACATTCAATATACAAATTCAAAGCATTAAGTAGGTTTAGAAACAGTTTTTCCTCATATTTTTCAAATTTTATTTTCCACGCATTTGGTCCACACATTATTTTTGTAAATTGCATATATATCTTTAAGAGCTTAATGGCCATGCACCATTAGTGTAAAAACATCTTATCTCAACACAAGATACTAATTAATTTTTTATATTGAATTTATTGGATTAATATGAGGATGAGCTAGAATTGCTTACTACCAAGTGTTGTATATAGTTGAGACTTCATAATCATGTTTAGTTAAAATGGTGTCTTTTCCATTATGAAATTTGTTAAAGTCTTGTTGAAGGTTTTATCATGGTCATGGCATACCCCACAACTTCAACTACAAGCATTAAATTGATTTTTGATTCATAACCAAACCAATTGGATGACATTTTGCTAACCCTTCAAATTCAGCCACTCTTGACGGCTTCAAGAAGAAACATTTGAAAGCTTGTTCTTAACAACCTTGTGGCTATTCTTTTTGTTTTTTAGTTTTTATGAGTGTATATGTGTGTCTTTCTCTTGCCATGGAAATGAAAATGAACCTTCAACTTCATATCAAAGGAAACAAAAGTATGTATAAGTATAATATGTACAAGTATTCCGTGGTAAAAATTGAAATACAAAACTGGTTTTATAAAATTGTATTAGATTTGTTCCAGTCAACCTCGAGTTTGTGCCACTACGTTTATGAAATAGTGTCTGCTTTGAGTGATGCTTATATATAAACTCCTCTTATCTCGATTTCCAAACAATATGAGAATATTTTGGTTAGTCAGAAATAGTTGCTCCTAATCAAGGTTAACGGGCACGGTGCGAATTTAGAGTTTTCATATATGATATCGATGATTGTATGCTTTAAGTATGAAAATTCTTATGACTTTATTATCCTTTAAAAAAAACATCTCGTTAGGTTGAGGTGTCTTGATTTTCAAACTATGAAGCGTGATTATCTTCAAAACTGTCCTGCTACTAATACAACGATATAAGTAATAATTTGAAAAAATAAATAAATTAAATATAATTTTAAGTGTTAGTGCAAGTGTCTAATACCAACACAAACACAGACACATTTTTTTTCAAAAATATCGGTGTAACATATATAATTTTCATATAATGTGAGGCTATTTTGACTAGTTCATAAAAACAATGTTTGAGATTTAAATATGAAAAAATAAATTTCTTAAAAGACAAAATAAAACTTGAATTGACATATTGTCAAATATTGGATGTGAGTGATAAAAGGATTAACTAACTGATTAAGAAATATTAATGTATAACACAAGTTATCAAGGCTTTATCCATCTACCACACACAATTGATATTGTCGTTTTGTGACTTCAACTTTCAAACAATTTTTGCTACTATGAATTCAATGAACTTGTCTATAATTAAGCTACAAATACAATACAGTGGATTAATGTATAAGTGAGAATGAGCAATTAATACATAATATAGTTGATGAGAGTGTAAAAAACAGTGATGTGAAACTGAGTCAGTCCTTGGAGGGTGATGTTCTTTGGTTGGTTTGACTGCTTCAACAAGAAACCTTTGAAAGCATGCTATTAACAACCTTTTCATTTTTCTAATTCTAAAATATTCTTATAATTTATTGAGGTAAAAATTTGATAAATCAATAAATAACAATATTGACACCTTCTGATACCGTTTTGTCGCGGCCGTTTCTGCGATGACATATCGTTTTTAAGTGAGATGTAGTAAATATTCTAGTAACTAAAATAGATAACAATTGTTATTAGAGATCAGTATATGTGAAGTAAGCAACACCCAATTATAAACAGATTATGCATGAAATTCTGTTCTTTGTTATGTGTATATGTGAAGCAAACAATGATGCTTGCATTTGGGGTCAAATATTTGAGATTTAAGGAAGTTTCAATATCTCAAAGGAAAGGAAAATCAGAGACAAAAATGTTTGTTATGTAGCAGAACTTAATAGAGCCTAGAAAATTATTCTATCACATTGTTAATGTTCTCTTTACATATAGGGAAAACAAACTACATGAATAAATGTACTATACAATACACTAAATAAACATGCAAATTTTCTCTATTTAAAATAGTATTATTAACCTTCCACTTTTTAGTATAATTATCCAATATTAGTGTTACTTATTATTAGTTAAAGTCTCACTTAAATCATTTGTCTGCTACGCAAACTAGCGGGATACTCGTGCGTTTGCACGGATATTTCACACGAGTACTGATGTGTTATGCGCATTTATTTTTAAAATATAATAAAAATATTAAAAAAAATTGATTTACCAAAACAATTTATTATTTATAAAAGAAAAATATATTTTGATTTATATACGAATTATAAATATAATTTTTTCAATATAAAAATATATATGGATGAACGATATATTTTTCTGTACGTAATATTATTTTTGTTTTAAGATTATTTATAAAAATATTTGGATAAAAAAACTTGTTTCCATTTTTAAAAAATTAAAATTCACTCATTAATTTAAAAATAATATTTGTGATTAATATTAGTTTTACTCATTATTACTTAAAGTCTCACTTAAACCATCTGTGTGTTACACAAATTTTCAATACAATGTAATTGTAAACTTTGGATTAATTAATGTGAACTAGTGATTATCCCTCCCTTAAGCCAAGTGGAAATTTGAAGGAACATAATAAGCATTGACATATATATGATTGAGAAGGAAATTTAATCAGAAAGTTTGGTGTAAGAGAGCATGCAAATCCTAGAGCATGTTGGTGATGTAGCAACAGAAATTAAATTAAATTAAAATTTTTCAGACAGTTACCAACCTCCAAACTTCATCTTTAATCACTCTATATATAGTCTCTTCATTTCAATAACGGTTACATACTTACACATTTATTCCACTTAAACATGGAGAGACAAAACACTAAATCTTCTTATAAGGTTGGAGAGTGCTTCATTATTTTTTAATCTTGTTTTCTTCTACTTCCTCTTAGTTAATTAGTCCTAATTATTTTTACTTTCTTTTTCATTTTCCTTAATTTTTCATGGCGAAAAGTTTGTCAAGAACACTTCACCTTCTTCATCTCAATGGAGTAGTACTGATTCTAAGGGAACGGTGAGACAGATACCTAATTTTTTATACAATCGCACATAATCTCAAAAACTAAGCAACATTGATATAGTATCATTATAACCGCTATTTTATAGCATTTTTAATTAAATATCACATTATAGAACAATAACAATTTATTCAAGTTCTATCATACTATAGCGTAATAGCGCAACATTGCTATAATATTACTATCGCTACTATTTTACAATATTTTGAACTAAATATCTTATTATTGATTTGTTGAAATTCTATTATGCTATAACAATATAGCATAATTATTGAAAAGTATATATGATTTGGGAGTTTGAACAAAGAGAAGTAATTGAAGAAAGTTCTTATATATACATTTCTTTTGTTGTTTCATGAGTCATAATCTTAAAGTTAAAAGTTATGAAACTCTCAACAATAGCATCCTTAGTGATATGAATGAAATGACATTACTTGAAGGTGTTTTTAAGCAACAACACTTATTGCATACTTGACTTGATGGTGCTTCTACTCACATATACAAAAATCTATTTTAGAAATGCATGCATAATATGACATATGTGATATATCAAAAGCATGACTAAACCATTTTACCTTTTCAAAAGTTGCCTAATTCATTCCACCTAACAAGTTTATCCATGCAACTTTCTATTTATCATCATTTCTTTAAATCATAATTGACTAACCTACAAATATATCTCTTTAAAATTTGTTAAAAGTATTATGCTACAATCAATATATAAGATATTTTTCTAAGTAATATTTTGGAGTTTTTGACATCAAAAGTTTCATAAGCATGGCCCTCTAAGTCTTATTATATACTCCAAATTTATAATTATTGTAGTTTTCCCATTTTACATTCTCTCTAAGTTATGATTTACTTCTAAAAATAGAAAGAAAAATTCCTATTTTCATATAGTTTTAGAAAAAGGATAACATTAGTATGTCCTACTCTATATAGTTGTTAAATGCATCCAAACTTGATTTTTCACTTAATTATTTCTTTAAGTTGGCTAGACATGATATCTTGGACCATTATTCTTTTAATCAAGTGCACAATCAATAACATTATGGACCCCATAATGATCACATTACCACTTTTTGCCTCTTACTTGTTTTAACAATAATATTATAATAATACACTAACACTCCTTTCTATGTGTCCATAATTGGTTATATTAAAAAATCTACCACATTATTATACATGAATCATGATTGCCAACTAAACAAACATAATTGAAATTTTTTTTCCATAGGCAAAAGATGTACTCAAAGAAAGGCTTAATGACAAGACTAAGGTAAAGAATTATTTTGTACATATACTTATATATACATATACTATTTAGTGTATCAATTTATTTTTTGAAATTTTGGTGAACAAATTTTGTGTTTGTTTTAGGCTTCAAGAAAATCTCCTACCAAAGAAAATACTAAACCACAAGAGTTCAAGCTCCACACACAAGAAAGAGCTGTCAAACGTGCAATATTCAACTATGGAGTAAGATATATATAAATATATATAGTGAATCATTAATGTCGAAGTTAGTATTAAAATTTTCATTTAATGATGAATGTGGTTTTGCTTAGGTGACAACTAAATTGTATCTTATGGAATTGCAAAAGAGACAAGAGGAGAAGTTGATGAAGGTATTATTAGGCACATAATAATGAAGATATTATTGATGCTATTATTATAAGAATGAGATCAATATTTTAGAGAGACTAATTTATTCAATACATGCAATAGATTATTGAAGAGGAAGAAATACGTTTGCTAAGGAAGGAAATGGTTCCCAGAGCTCAATTAATGCCTTATTTTGATAAGCCATTTTCACCACAAAGGTAAATAACAATGATAATCAATATATATATATATATATATATATATATATATATATATATATATATATATATATATATATATATATATATATATATATATATATATATATATATATATATATATTGTTATATTATTATCGGTATATAAGAAAGATATTTTGCGACTTTTTTAGCTGTTGTGGCTGTTTGAACCGCCAATAATTTTTTAGTGTGATAATAGTTACAATATATTTTTCTTTATCAGAAAAAAAAATAGTATTTACTATTAAAATATTGTGAATAGTAAATTGAAGAGCTGAAATGAGAAAAAAATTGAGTTGCAGATCAAGCAAAACAGTTCAAAGAGAATCATGCATCCACATGCTGAGTAGCAAGTGCTGGAGTTGCACCTCTGGCAATGGATTCTACAGCATGCACCAATATGGTCATCAAGCTCTTAACAATCCAATCAAATAGAAGCTTTTTATATGGTTGTGTGAAGGGAAGGAGACTGTAAAATGTACCATATATAGTTCTTGTGTTGATTTCATGCATGCATTTTGTACACTATTCAAATCATAGAGAGAAAACTTGAGAGCTTTTGTACTATAGCCTAGATTCATTGAGTTAGATGGCCAGGTTTTTCTTATCATGTATTCTTTGTCACAAATAATAAAGATGAATGTTTTTTTTTTTTTTTCTACCAATCCATCGAGTCTTGCTCTAACATTTTTATAGTGATCATCAGTATTATGATATCTGCAAATGCATAGTTATATCGCATAATATAAAAAGATGATCATATATGCATGGTTGAGTATCAGACTATGTTGATTTGGTAGTTTGTTGTGAGTTTTCACAATGGTAGACAAAATACTACTATTAATTTTCTTATTATTTAGGTAAAAATTCATTATAGATAGATAACACTTCTTATAACTTCAATATCTTTTTGATCACATAAGATATATTTTGACTATAACAAATCTCAATTTCATTGTGAGTGTTATTAGGAACACATCTTGTTTACATTGTACTTAGCATTAGTTATGTGTGAAGTTATGTGAGCCTTTAGATTAGCTTACCAAGTCAACCATCCAACGCTCCTCTTTTAATTCTGCTTTTTATTTTCTTATTTTGATTTTTAATTCATTTTCCTTTTATTTTAATTCCATTAATCTTTCAAAATTCATATTAATTTCAATTTTCATCTGAAAAATAATCAAAAAATATCTCCATGTTCTAGATTTAATTTGTGATTTTTCTGTGCTCTTACATTTGATTTTTGCTTATTTTTCAATTTAATTTGATTTTCTCCATTTTATTAATTTCTTTAATTTTGTATATTTGATACATGATTTTGCTGATTTTTGTTCTTGCAATTGGTATAGAATCTTGGTCTGATTTTTTGCTAGCTGGTAGATTAGAGATGCATGATACCCTATGATTTAATTTAGATTTTTTAGATAACAATAGGTTCTGTTTTGAATTAGGATCTTTAGACTTTCCATTTTAGGGCTTTAATTAGATACCTTGTGATCTAGGTTTTCTTTAGGTGACTTCCCTTTAGATTAAGGTTCCGAGCCTTTGCCCATAGGTCCTTAACATGCTTAGGTTCCCTTAGAAAATTTCTTAGGATTTTAGAAATAGTTTTAGTATTTTAAGTTGTTTTAATACTTAGGCTAGTTTTAAGTTGCTTTCAACATATCACTTGCTTTAGATTGACTTCAATGGTTGCCTTTAGTGAATGATAGGTTTTCTAATCTTATTGGATGGTGTTTTAGACATGTTTAAGCTCCTGTTTGCTTGGTGGTGGTACTTGATTTGGTGTTTAGGCCTCCCTTTAGAAGCTTTCTTTGAGCTTGTTCAATTAGGGTTTAGGAAGAGCTTAGTTGTTTTCTCTTTCTTCACATAAAACATGGATTGCTTTGGATTGCTCTCCATTCTCATCCTATGATTCAAGGTCCCTATGTGAAATCCTCATTTTTCCTTTGAAAGGATGTGTGGCATTTTACAAGAGGTAGAATCTTTGAGGATACCTTTCTCTGATGACTGGTTGAGTGTCAGGAGGGATTCCTTTGGTTTCCTTCCTGCTTCCCATCATCAATCCAATATTCTTGATGTTATTTCTATTCCCTTATGTTGGAGCTTGTTGGAGCATGAAGATGAAGACTTCTCTTGAAGATGGCTTGAAGTTGTTTGCTTGCAGCTGTTTGATTGTTTGCTGTTTATCTGCTTTGTTGTTGAGCTGTTTGTCTGCTAGTTTGTATGCCGTATTTTTCTAGCTGCTCTGTTTTGCTTGTATGACTGATTGACTGTGTGTTGCATTTATATTAGGTGTCTCATATAGTGATCTAGGCTTAAGAGCATCCTAAAGGTTGAGAATAGCTCCCTTTGCTTGTCTGCATCTAGAGGTTGAGGCTGTCTCCCTCTGCTTGACTGTTATTGATTGGCTTTGCTTGCTGGCTTAAGGTTGAGTCTGTCTCCCTTGCCTGTGCTTTGTGTGTTGCCTTTGGGCTTGCTTGTTCTAGAAGTTTAGCTTGGCTTCTTCTGCTTGTTTGTTGCATTGTATGCATTTTTATTTACAGTTGTTTCTGTACAGTTATTTCTTTTGCTGTTTGTTTTCCTTTGCCATGTTCCCCTAGGAACTCTGACTTCTCTTGTTCAAGAGAAGTTATGACAGACATTAGGGTTCTAACCATGCATTATAACATTAGGTAGTTCCCTCCTAACCTCAACCATAGGATCAATTTTGCATGACAACTTTAGGATTGGATCAGTTCCCCTTTAGTGCGTCTTTTCTCTTCTCATCTTCAAACAAAAATCAAAATACAGTAATAAAGGTTAATTGACATTGTACGCTACGAGCCTTAAGCTATCTGAGAAAGGGTTGTTGGAGAGTTTCTTTCCAACAGTCTGGATGTTTAGTATGACACCCTTTGGGTGACATGCGACGCATTCACTCTCAAGTCATAGTCTCTAGTGTGATATCAGTTACAAACATCCATAAAAGACACTTCTCTAAAAAACAGAAAACAAAGATCAATTTTTTTTTGTCCTCTTGGACCTTTAATCCCTTGGAAACCCTTTTTCAGAAGGAGAGTTTTGTTAACTCCCGGTTCTACCGCAAACGGTAAACGCCTAAGTCTCCGTCGGATAAAAAAGACAAACCTGTGTCTCTCGTGTCTCGAACTACGTTTGCTTTGATCTTTCGCGCTGTGTGAAAGTGCGTAGGCACGAGATACGATATCTCGGCGAGCAACTTTCCCCTGTAGTTAGGCGAACTACGTTGACTCTGATTTCTCGTTCCAGACGGGAATACGTAGGCATAAAGTGTGACGCTTTGCCGAGTCATTTTCTTTTCTTTTCAGACCAGACCCTTAGCGTAGATAGATGTAACAAACCCATCAGATAAACACAACAAGCGTGGATCCCATCGAGTACGATGGACGTGAGGGGTGCTAATACCTTCCCCTTGCGTAACCGACTCCCGAATCCAGACAATGGTTGCGATGAACTTGTCTTATACCTTTGCGTCAGGTTTTTCTGATCGTTTCCTTTCCTGTTCTGAGGGATTAATAACGAAAGGTGGCAACTCTTCTGTTTTGCCGACCTCGTTTTTCGCAGTAGCGACAGCTGGCGACTCTGTTGGGGACCCTGGATCCCTATGCGATTCAATCCTAGCGCTTGTGTGTTTACCTGTTGGGTTTTATTTATCGCACTTTACTTGCCGCATTTTATTTTCAGTATATTATTATTGTGCTGTTGTGGGAAGGGGCTCTGATGAGTGAGAAGCCAGACCCAGGCTTGAGTGTACTTAGCCTCATGAGGTGAACTGAAGTTCTAATTCTCCAGGCACTTCACAGTGTCCCGACGCCATCCAAAAACAGTGGCGGTCCTGAAGGCCATTTTTCAGGGGAAGAACGAGTCTCTTAGAGATTACATTGAGATGTTCAATTGCGAGGCCGTCCAGGTGTCCACGACGGACGACATAAAGGAATTTCTGATCCAGAGGGGCATAAGGCCGTACTCTGACTTTGCCAAAGTTGCCGGCCTCGCATGCCCCCTTACCCTAAACGCCCTCTTCCACATGGCTCAGTCATACATCGAGTATGAGGAGATAGAGGCCGCGAACACCACCCGGGCAGGGCGTAACCAGGAAGTGTTGCACCCTAATTTTTGACCTTAAGATCTCACCTCTTCTTTTTTTTGTGCACTTTGAGTGTACTATCTTCCACTGTTTTTGCATGTTTGTTATGGCTAACCAACTCGTGCAGGTGCATTAAACTCCAGTAGAAATGGCACTCCTTTCGGACTTGGTCATTTAGTTCTCATTCAAGATGTACCTAAAATTTTCAAGTTGGGTTGGGCCACTTTCGTAACTGTCTCATGGTCACAAGTTCGAGCATGACAGCGTGAATCCAAAGTGACAGGTTTATTGATTACAAGGAGGCCTCCGTACACGGTTATAAGAAGTAACACAGATCGAGATTGCAAACATTGGATTGACGATATTCTCATGATGAGGAAAAATATATGTTAAAAGGATTTTCAAAGCCCACTTCTTTTACAAAATACAAAACGTCCCAAAGGCCCATGCACGTAAGCTCAAGTTCTAGCAAAAACAGGATGTTTAAACATTTAAAGGTACTAGCTGGAAACGTTGAAATCAGCAACGGTGAATTAATGGCATAGTCACATGATTAACGCAATAATAGCATGTTGATGCACTAAAACGAATATATACAACAAGGTCCTTATACATTAATGCACCAGAAAACCAATTTCACAAAGATTTGCTGCTATAATTCCTGGTATTGAGGCCACCAACATGACACAACACTCTCCGAGCAAGAAGCAGCTTCACTTTCACTCAATGACGGAAAATCGGCTTCACTTCCATGAAGACTTCACTTTCAATCAAGTGGAAAACCGTGTTACATCCCTAACAGCAAGCAACAATACCAGCATTCTCAGCGCAGTCACGACGGAGGCATTATCAGCCACTGCAGGAATCTCCTCGCCATCTGCGAATGCCATCAACAACACATAAGTGTAAGGGACAAGAGAAAGCCGACTCGAAGTCAAAGTCACTAGGTGGCTTTGGTTTCGACCATTTCATACAAAACAAAATAGATATGGGTTTACCTCTTCCATGATGAATGTCAGCAGCACTGTTATGTTTGGCTTAAAGCCGTCGCTACCGGGCCGACACCAACTTCCAGACACTGATGCGAAGCTTACGGGGACGAACCATTCCTAGTACAAGATAACAGCTAAGACAAAAGCAGAATACATGGTTAACGATGTATGTTTCCAAACACCATAAAACTTGGTTCCAACAAAACTACATTAAATTTAGAAACTCATTTACATAGCAACAACTAAGTTGAGTCACTTTGCTATCCACTGCATGACCATTTACAACATACCATCGCTTGTTGCCTGTTTGGAGTGACCATAACACTTTCAGCCTC